TCTGCAAGCGAGAAGTGCGAGAGAAGATATCTAGCCATTTCAACTTTAAAATGACGAGACCTAACCGCCAATCTAGTACTGTGGAATGCAAGGGGATATCTTTCTCTCTTTTGCTCCAAAATGTAACAGTGTCAACATGTCTCTTGTCCTCACTGAGGAAATAACTTTTCTACGAGATTTTATCACATACACACAAATCCTTTGAAAGTCCTCTGCCCCAACCTCGTGCATTACAACCTGATGCACAGCACTTTCTACGGTGCACAAAATAAACTTACGATTATGCTGTAGCATACTTACAGACGATAACGAGTACGCCCCCATTCCCTTAAATACAGTAGTGAATACTGTATGTGTGGGTCGGCCGGCCTGCAGTTGTAAATTCGTCTTCAGCTGGACTGGTTAAGCTCTCTATCTGTGGGCAGAGAGCATCCTCAGACGAGGCTATGTCGAAGGGCATAGTCTCGTCTCAGGAAACACCTACCCGACCCCGTTTTACACGGGTTCTACGATAAATTTTTGGCTGAGCCTAAGTTCGGCCTTGTACCGCATCTGACTGAGTGGGGCAGTTGGTAGATCCCATCTGCGGCCTGCAGTTTGGTGATTCATTGTGGAATTCACTTGACTCACTTTTAGCAGTTGACTACTACTTTTACGCGCCGCTGGCGAATCTTATATATGCATTTTTCTTGTCCTAAGTATTATCGTTCATTACCAACCTTCGTGTGATTATTCTATTCAGTAACCTTTCCTAGGATGCAACAGGTTACATCTAGTCATTTCAACTGTAAAGTAATGAGACCTTTTCCCCAATCTAGTACAGCGCTTAAAGTCATAAAGTCTAAGTCTAAGAACAATTACTATGAATATATATATATATATATATATATATATATATATATATATAGAGAGAGAGAGAGAGAGAGAAAGGGTACAGGGAAGCTATGTTACGGCGATATGAAAATGACTGAAGTCGAGATACCTGAACACATTGCAGATTCTTTGTACTTTATTAAGAACCTCTGAATATATAGCAGGAGCATCAGACCAGACGTGACAGCAAGCTTCAATGCATGGACTTATGTTAGACTTATAAATTTGTAAGATAGATGCTACTAAAACGTAATTATGACAACAGCGAAGAGGCGAGTGCAAATATGTGGAATAATAAAAAATGCTTTATGTTAGAACTTCAGACAATACAGGAAGGACAAAAATGTATTGGCTCAAATGTTGAATTTTAAAAAATCTTAAAAATACTATGGAATAATGAAATTCATTTTTGATTATTTCCTTGGTTCCTATGCATGCTAATGTTAACAGCATTCTGGATACTCACTCTCCAGTGGGTTCATCCATAATTGCGGAAATCTATTGTGTCTTTTTTTTTACAGGCATAGTAATTGCACCTCATATCTAACCATCTTTATACAGCTTCAGATATCTGGTTGCTTTTTCCAGACCCCTCTCACCATTACATAGTTTTGAATTCAGTGTTGTCCTTCTCATAGACTGGTTGCCAATCATGGCTACTAAGATTGCCCTGCTATTCAACTCCTAGCTGGACGGAGAAGAGATGATTCCCAAGGTTACTTGTACGAAAGTAAATGCAACGGAATTCGAACTCGGTTTTCCGATTTCGCACCACAAGCAACTAACTCTTACATTATATGCATATTCAATTGAAATTGCAAGAGTTAAACATGGTAATGTCAGTGAAAATATCGACCAGTAAAACTGAAAGTGAAAGTGGTAAATGTAAATAGAGACAGATGGGGAGATATAAAGTCATTGTTGTGACACAAACTGGACTTTTTAAAAAGCGTAGAGGAAGAGAATGAGGAAAATATAAAAGTGACATATGTAAAATAGTCAGCAAATATTGGTAAGATTAAAGTAAATTTTAATGACTGAAATAATAGTGTTATTACATTTATTCATTTTTTTTAAGAGTCTCATAATGAAACCACAATAAAAATAACTTTTTCACTACTTTCTTTAAACTGTATAGGAAAGTATCATACATCTTGTTAGAAAAATTTCGATTTCCGTAAAACAGATTGGGGACCAGGGCCGGCGCGTACTACCCCCGAGTTACAAATTAAACTAAGCACAACTGACAACTTTAAAGGATGAAAAATCTTTGCGGATTTTGACGTCATTCTGAGGTGGTTTTTTTTTTCGCCCAAATCCCTGAATTTGTTTTGTTCATGCTAAGTCTCGAAAAAACACTACCCTTACCCCATCCCTGGTGATGACAGACGTTTTCCTTTGTACAGTCTACCAATAAATCTATCTATAAATCTTTATTTTGGTTACATTTTAAAAGCTCATTTCCTGCCTTTGTCCAAAATAATGAAACTTACGGCCGCATAATGTTGAAACACCAGTCCCCGTATGATCATCGAAGTTAAGCAACATCAACCGGGTCAGTAGTTAGATAGTTTGAGAATTACCAGGTGATGTAAGCTTGGATGTTCGGGTGGTGTAATGGATAATGACTCGGAATGGTTAATTGTATCACCGAATCCCAATTCCCATTGGGTTCGTTATATTCACTTAAGCACAGATACCCTTCTCTCCCCAGCTATGGGTTAATTAGTAAGACCTGTATTACTAAGCCATTAATATCTAAAAATATCTTACAATTTAAACATAATTCCTGGCTTTAAATAACATGCAAAAAAAACAAAAACGAATCAACAAACAAAATCAATGGAAATAAAAGGTCCTTAGAAAAGTATCGTAAATTCTGTTAGATAAATACCAACTTCTGTAAAGGTGACAAACCTTTTTCTTTGTGCCAAATTATCAATGGAAATTCATGCTTGTTAGGAGCGCATCACAAATTCGTTAGAGAAATTCTGCTTTCCTTGAAATGCACAGATGACACGCCTTTCTTAGGCCAAGCTACCAACAGAAATAAATCCTTGTTTTGGTTACATTTTGAAAGCTCATTTTCTAATTGATGTAATGGAATAACCTGTAACCCCTATGACTGACTACACTATAGGTAGTAACTATCTATAAGTATCTGTAAGTCAATGGACTACAGAGAGTAGCTGGGATCTGTTACTCAGTTCTTAGCTGTTGTCGAACTTTCTGCCTTCGGCCACAGAGGAACCCGACCGAGACTATGCCGAAGTGCAGAGTCTCGTCCGGGGAGGTAGACAGACCCGAACCCGTTTATGCGGGGTTTACGGGGAAGTTTTGGCCGAGCCTATGGGCTCAGATTACCCCAGATTAAATTCGGCCTTGTGCCACATCCTACCCTGTGGGGAGGTTGGTAAATATTGCTAGCTGGGATCTGTTAAGTACGACTCAGACTTACGCGAGAACTACCGATACTGCCAATAGTAGCACTCACTACTGGATTGACTTGCGACGATCTTGTGCATAACTGTTACCTTTATTCTTATTCTACTGGTTTTTTACAATAACCCTTTACTTATTTTATCCCCTTGTTTTTCAAGTATATATTCCTATTAGCACGGAATATAACACTAACTTTGTCCCAAATAATGGGTAACAAAGTTGAATACTTTTAACCGACACTTCATAAACTTATGCACCATTGAACAATAAACGAGCGGATTTTACAAGTAATTAAACAATAATCAATTTGAAGCACTTCCAGAAAACTGACTAGATGACCAAACATAAGGTCTTGGTCAGTTCGAGAACTTTTCAGAAGCCTCTTGTATGTTAGTGAATGTGTATGCGTGCAGGCATAAATCGTTTCTTCCATACCCCAAGATTTGCCATGAAGTCTGGCTATGTAATTTCCGTCAAACTGTTCTTCACAACGTGGGCGGGTTCTGCCAGAGAAAATATTAAACACACATTTGTCTTCCCTGAAATGGTAAAAAAATAAATGAATTCAATTAACTGGTTGAAAAGATTATTTCATACTGCCACCCGCTTAAAAAATTATTAAATTAGGATTAATTAAATCATCCTTAATTTGAGGTGTCCGTTTATTTAAGTGATTGGAACACAATATAATTACATGCCTTTACATATAAAGTATGCACAGTTCAAAGGTTAATAAAGTTACAACGCGTCACAAAGGTAAAATAATAACAAATAAAAAATAAAACCAACCCCTATCTCACTCGGCTTGTGAGATATCGGTTCAACATGACTATCTCTGGTGAAACAATTTTGGTATTCAGATAAGAGGCTTTTATGTGGCATTACACCAGGGCTATTTTCCTACACACACGGACGCTTGTATGAAACAGCCGACCTAGCGCAAGAATACACATAAGGTGTAACATTTCCACATCGACCAAGCAACTACAAACACACATCGAAGTCCTTCTTGTATCTAAATGAAATGTTCACTCCACCACCGGCAAAATTTAACTCCTGCGCCAAAAGGACGTTTTATAAAAAGACTGTAGTCAGTTTATTCTGGCTTGTAATAAATTTCCCTAATCCATTTCTTTCTGTCGGAAAGCTTAAGTCAAACAATCCAACAACGTGTGTCTCTTGTTTGCTACAGCAGTCACACTTCTGTCTCTGTCGCCACTTTAAGCACTTTTGATAGATTAGGTGACAGTTAAAATTTGCATATGTTAAAAGAGATTCTCATGAAAATCTCTGAAATCTATCTATTTTAAATATACGATTTGTAAAGCCGCCATTTTCTTTTGGGGAATATTTTACATGCAAGACACGCCCGAATTCGTTTTCGTCCCGGAGGTAAGCCATTTTCTCTAGTGTTGCAAAGAATTTCACCTTTCTTTGTGTCAACTACTGCTAGTGACTACTACTGCTGATAGGAAAAAATAGGAGTATTCTTTCTGGTTATCTCTCTTTTGAAGAAAAAACTACAGAAAAATTAGAACTGTGAAACCCGAGTTGTACTAGAAATTCACTATCGTCGTTTTTCTTAAATGTCTGTTCAGTATTGAGTTCATTAGCTATCAGCGGGCCTGTATCTTAAATGGAATGTCATTTTAGATATTCATTGGCGAAGTCAAAGATAAATAAGCTTACGGCCACACCGCATTAAAACACCGGTTCCCGTGCAATCACCAAAATTAAGCAACGTTGAGCCTGGTCAGTACCTACATGGGTGACCGCTCGGGAATACCAGTGAGTTTGGATGTGTGGGTGGTGTAACGGATAATGAATCGGAGAGTCGAGTTCCAATTCCAGTTGGGTTCGTTACCGTTATATTCCCCTTACGCAGAAATACTCTTAGGAAAAGTATGAATGAACCTTTTCTCAACCCCACCAGCTATGGTAAGACTTGTATCATTAAATCATTACTGTCTTTAAAAAATAAAATAAAATTTTGTACAAAATATATTTAGATTTCAGCACTAAATAACCCATAGAGGATGATATGCCGCTAAACAAAAACAACCAACCATCAACCTCAAAAACAAATAAACAACAAAAGACACGTATCAAGACTAACCGTCATGTACTTACAGAGCAGCGAAGTAGTTAAATGTGATGTGTCCGAGATCATTCTGTGCAAAGTAGACAACTGCAGAGTGTGGGCTGGACTCCAAACTTTCGAAAGTGTTTTCCTCGAGACCGGAACGCGCAATTTCATACCAGTAACCGAGAACCTGTAAAAAATGAATTCAATTCATAATGAAAATCTCCAAGCGGGAGAGGTACAAAAATTACACAGATTTAGAAAAGATTAATTTTTTGTAATTATATATATATATATATATATATATATATATATATATATATATATATATATATATATATATATATATATGGGTGTGTGTGTGTGTGTTGGAAAATCATTTCACCCCAAGCAAAGTAATAAAGCTACTAAGACACATAGGATTACCGAGTGTGAAAGAATTAGAAAAAGAAAAACATTATTATGGAGCGAGAATAATAAAAGAAGAGGAATCAAGAAAACAGTAGATAAAGATTGATATTGCATTTAAATTTTTGAAGATCAAAATTTGCTGGAATGCAAGAAGCCGGAAGCGAGTTACGCAGATGAGAAGTGCGAGAAAATAACTGTTAGGAAAGAACTATATATGAAGCCAATTCAAATGTAAAATGATGAGATCTTGCCGTCAATCTGTAGCACTGAGGCCGTGAGGTGGTTAATGTTAATTCTGAGCAGAAAAAGGGTTAAGCCCAAACGAAATATAAACTGGAAGATAGAGAGAGAGAATGGAAGATTGTTTCTCTGTTAATTTGGAAATAGAAAATGGGTAATCTGGATTGTCTCCCCTCTACGAACTGAAACGATCCACCAAGAGTTTTTTTATCTATAAAAAATCTGGCATACAAGTAAAACAAATTTAGAAATGGCTTTATCTATTTCTTGAGAAATTAAAAAAAAAAACACATATCATTAACGAGAAGAAAACGAACTGAGAAATGAAAATAGTAATGCACCTGCTGTGAGGGTCAAGGTTATGAAAATCGATCCTGTCGTGACAGGCAGGTGGTCTTGTTTGTGTTTTCGCTAAGGCAGCGATTGGCTGACAGATAGAAAACAGCTTTGTCACTTGTTTGAGAATTTAGGTAAACAAATATATTTTCGTTGATAAAAACAAATTGGGAAATAATTTTATCTCTCGCTCGGAAGGTTAAATGAGAACACAGTGGTCTGGTTTGTGTTCTCGTTGGACAAAGATAATTCAAGGAAAATAGAAAGGGAGTCAGAGAATTAAGATTAATGGTGAGAACAAACTACGCCCTTTCGCCTACGTACTTTAAAAATTAGATTTGTCACAAAGACTGTTAGGAAGGCAGAGTTAGAATACCGAGAAGGAAGAAGAGGCAGAATTTAGTGTGGATTGGTGGTGCGAGATTTGAAGTGAAGCAGGTTGGAGTTAGAGGGAGGAGTAATCCCTGTGACTAATTACAAGGAAGGTGGATAATTCTCCAAATTCGGAAAATTGATTAAGGAAGCAGGGAACAAAAAAAAAAAACAATTACTGGGATTATAGGGAACAAAAAAACCTTGATTGGGATTAATGTAAAAATTGAGTAATTACAGAATCCCCAGAACCTTTCAGCCCCGCGCCAGTTTGGGGCTGAAGTGCATATAAGCAGATGGCTTTGGGTGCACGGAGATTGGGGCTGCATCGAGTGACTGGAATCCACGTCAGCTTCCACCAGATTTCCTGATTCTAAAGAACTTTGAACCCAACTCCTCCAGAATTTTAGACTAGGCACAGTGTCACTAAAGAGACTGCTGCAAAACGGGTTAATTTTTGTTGCACCAAGAACTGGAGATTAACCCAACAAATGTTTCGTTTTATTTTTCGTTGTGAAGATATGTTTTCCTTACTATAGCACCCGTCACGGCTTGAACCAGCGCTGTGAGACTACGACATTCGATCTTCCACTGCTCTGAGATCAAGAACACAACGTGGGCAGAGTTGGTGTGAATCAAACGGCTAGCGATCAACAACCATCTTGGACCAGCCGTCAGCATTGATCAGCGCAAATTTATCCATGTGGTTAAAACATCTTCCTAAAATCCTGAGGACCAAAAAAATGAATGTGGTTTGGTCCTCAGGGTGTTGGCGGTGGCAAAAGGAGTTACATATTAATTGGTGGCCTTGATCAAGAATTTGACCCTGGGTTGCGGCTATTATAAATCTAGGACTGAACTTAAATTCATTAAGTCTAGGTATCACAGAGCAAAGTTCATCAGAACAATTACCATGAAGGTATTTCTAGAAAAGGCATATAGTAGCTACATTACAGATACAAATCAAGTTCTATGCTAACAGTTTCTACTATCACACTTTTCGCTTGAAGATCTTTCTTTCGGCTTTTTGCTTTCTAGTCAACTCAAAAATTTAAATCACTAGCTATTACCCTCCTGATTACTTTTCTTTTGTTTTGTTCCTTAGTAATGTTTCTGTTTTCTAATTCTTCCACACCCAGTCTTAGTGGCTTTATTGCTTACTTTTGTCCTTCTTTGTAAGTAGCGTTCTACCTGTTATCATCCAATCAGAATCACTAGATATGTTTTCATATAGGTGTCCTGCTATTTTGCCGTGTAAAGCTGAAAACCTCTTCAGTTCAGTTACCCTGTAACCCATCGGGGCCATGTGCTTCCCAGTTTGGGGACCTTCTTCACTTGTGCGGACACATCTTCAACACGTGTGATAATAGGATCCTGCATGGGTGTGTTTAGCAAACTCTTAACAGATTCAATCGATTCAGCGTTCCTGTCGTGGGTGATAATCATGCCCCAGATTTCGTTCCCAACATCTCGAGCTTTGGCAGAACATACCAAGCTATTTATACAGATCACCGCAACGAATAACGAGTTCCAGCCACACAGGGTGCCTCACTCTCTCACTCTCTCTCTTTCTTTCTCTCTCTCTCTCTCTCTCTCTCTCTATGTGACTTTATGCGAGACTAAATTGAGTAAAGATCTAAATTATACATGCATGAAAGATATTCCTTTTCTTTTTTCTTTGATTTCCGTTGAGTGACTCAGGGAGGCAAAGAAAAAACATTGGATTCCCTTCATAGTGGCATTATATTAAAAATTATTATTATTATTATTATTATCAAAATATTGTATTACATTTATAAATATTAATATTATTAAAATAATAAATACTGTAAATCTCCAATATAAAGTGACAGATCAATTATTGCAGCTCAAACTGTATATATACAATGAGCCAAATCAGTTTATTGAATTTGAATCCTGATTTTATTGACCTTCGCTTTAGCGTGATCCCGTTTTATCTGTAATGATATTTATAGACCTCAATGATTATCTTATACTGTAAGAAATAAAAAAAATATAAAACTGAACTTGTGGTTGAGAAAGATGCGTATCTCTCGTGTAAATTGAACCTACATCTATCTTTTTGATTCTTGTGTAAACTATGCCAAACTTTTTTGACTCTCCTACAAACTAGACATACGTGTACCTTTTTTATTCTCGAGTAAACTGGACCTATGTCTAGCTATTTTGATTTTTTAGCATACCAAACCTATGTCTACCTGTCTGTTGTCGGGAAAATGTTAATATGCCGTACTCGCACGTCTGTCCGTCCGTCCGCCCGTTCGACCGACCGCCTCCCAAAGGTATTTGTGGTAGACAGGTCCACACCATCAGCATTTCGTTTTATCCGATTTATTCAATTTAGTTGCGTACAACAAGAGCTTAAACATGGGAAATACCATTAAATGTTTCACTAACCTCAGTTTGATTAAAGTCCTTTGCATGAGGGATGTTTACCACAGCACATTCCGATAGCCTCGGGAAATCTGTTTTATTGACGGCGTAATTATCTGTCGAATGAGAAGGTAAAGAACGAATTGATTTTCAGACAACTGGAGATATTGATTAACATATAAAAGAAGTTATTTATATTTCTAATATTTCCAGACTTACTTGAAACTACATAAACACACACATACACACATATAATATGTAAGCAAGGGACGAACCTAAAGGTATGCCTCTGACTTATTTCAACAGAAAGTACAATATATGCATGGAACAGAATAATATCGTTAGATAAAGTAAGTGTTTACCTACAAAACATTGTTTTTACACTTACCATCATGGTCTATGCATATATATTTCTGGATTTCTTGAGAATCCAATAAAGAAAATGTTACCTGCGTCTTTCTTATACCAGAGCATATTCAAATTAAAAAGGCCATTATCAGAGAATTTTTTGTGCTTTATCAAATATCACGTCTTCGCATCTAATGCTAATGTTTCAAATTATGGCATTTTCACGTGGCATTTCGTGTTATATTATTTTTTTTACTTTTTTATATATTTAATATGTTTGTTCATATATATATATATATATATATATATATATATATATATATATATATACACTACAGTTCAAAAGTTTGAAGCCACCCCCAGAATTAGCAAGGGATGAAATTGGCCAAAAAGTGAAAAAATGAAAAAGAGTCATTGAAAAAAAAATGGAATCAATTATCAAACATTTAAAATTTAATCATAAAATTGTCATAATAAAAATTCAAATAAAAAATCATGTCTCACTTTTTTTAACCATGTATAATAATTTTCTCTTATTTAAAACTTTTTTTAGTGTATATATATATATATATATATATATATATATATATATATATATATATATA